CCGTTGAGGAGAAAATCGATCCGACGCTCCAAATTCCAACTTTTTTGGACGAAATTCTCTGGGCCGTTGAGATGAAACTCGATCGAACGGTCGAAACTCCAACCTTTCCACCAGTAAATCTGAGGGGTGTTCGAAAACCGAATCGAGGGGGACTTAGAAAAATTGCGCGGAACTGGTTTTACATACCCGTATCGGCGCTTTCGTCGTCGCCCCCGCGGTTTTTAAAGGCCGGAACTAAGCGGTTGAAGACCTCGCGTGTAAACCCGCTCTGATTACCAAGTGTGAGGATCTAGGATCGAGCTCAGAAAAGATGATTCAAATTGAATTGAATTGAATTGAATTGAATGTCCACCTGGGTACAACACGAGGCTATATATAGGCTCGACACAAGGCCCCGTAACCAGGTGTCACGCGAAGGTTCCGCGGGTCGCGAAGCGTCCCAAACAGATCCTTACCAAATTCGGTAGAAGGCAATTCGATGGCAACCGAAAAGCCAGAATTCGGTGCACGCAACCTAGCTCGGTGCTATAACTATAATAAAATATAGGAAAGCACCTAGCCTAGGAAATCAAGCAATTCATGCATGCATATAAATATCCTATGCTAGAAATAGCATGATAAAAGTAAAGGCAAGCAAGCATAGCTGGCATAAGCCGTCGTACTCTCACATAGTGGAAGGTTCCAGGCCCAAGAGAAGCCGAATCGGCCTCGGATAAATCCTTCTAACCTTTCTCAGTTGAAAACTGATACTGAAGCTGCATCTTTGAGCGCAGGACCTAGGGATAACATATTGGACGTACCCTACGATCCTATAAGCGATACCATCTACGGATACTCGGAGCAACAGCAACCACTAGTACTCGAGGTGATCTGCAACGGGCGTCGCCTCCAGGCCCTGGTGGACAGTGGTACGTCCCACTCGGTGTGCGACCGCGGGACGTTGGAGAAAATTGGAGAATCCTAAGAAGAAACCCAGTTTACAGCAACGATGGTGGACGGTACGAAGCTTCCCATCCACGGAAAGTCAACACTGCAGCTGCAGATAGGGGCGTTGAGGTGGAAGCCGACGTTGCCGATCACGAACATCAAGGGATTAGATTTCATCTTGGGGCACGATTTTCTGAAGCGGTTCAACCCAAAGATCGACTGGGTCAACCAGAAAATGTGCATCTACAACAACGGGAAACGAGTGGAGCTGCGAAGCTTGACGGATACAGGGAGCGTTCCTGAAACGACACTGGCACGGTTTGAACGGACAGTGAACGAGAGTAACACGGGTTACTTAGCACTGGTTATAGCAGCAGCAGAGGAGGAGGTCTTGGAGCAGTACAAGGATATAATGCCCGACGACCTACCCACAGGCGTATCTCCAGCACGCACCCACGAGCACGAGATCGTGGAGGAACCAGGTGCGAAACCCGTCTCACGTGCACCATACCGACTGAGTCCAACTGAACTGACAGACATGAAAAACAGATAGAGTATCTACTAGACAGACAACTGATCCGCCCATCCACCTCTCCCTATGGTGCACCAGTTCTCTTCACTCCAAAGCCAGACGGTAGTTTACGGATGTGCATCGACTACCGCGCACTGAACAAACAGACAGTAAAAAACAAATATCCCATACCGCGCATAGACGACCTACTCGATCAACTGCGTGGAGCAACAGTATTTTCGAAGCTGGACCTACGATCGGGCTACTGGCAGATCAAGATGGCAGACAACTCCGTCCACAAGACAGCGTTCCGTACCAGATACGGCTCCTACGAATACTTGGTGATGCCGTTCGGACTCTGCAACGCACCAGCAACGTTTCAGGCGGAGATGAATCACATCTTACGACCCTTGCTGGACGAGTGCGTGGTGGTGTACCTGGACGACATTCTCATCTACTCCAAGAACATGAAGGAGCACGTGGAGCATCTGCGGAAGGTGTTCGAGATCCTGCGGAAAAACAAGTTCTACGTGAAGGTGTCAAAGAGCGACTTCGCCCTGAAGAAGGTGCAGTTTCTCGGGCACATGGTGAGTGCCGAGGACGTACACGTGGACCCACTGGGACACACAGTTACCGACCCTAGAGTTCGCTTACAACAACGCATCACATGCGGCCACAGGAAAAACTCCTTTCTTCGTGTGTTACGGATGGGAACCCCTCACACTTGGGAACCCCTCACACAGAGCAGAACTAAACTACCCCATTCACGACAAGGAAGCCTTAGCGATAGTCATAGCCTTCAAGGCGTGGAGGTGTTACCTAGAGGGAGCCAAGACTACAGTCTATACTGACCACTGTAGTCTCAAATACCTGAAGTCACAGCCAACCACACCGGCATACGTCCAAGCCGCACATCACTTCGTCACCACCATGCAGCAGCTATGGGAGAAGACTCAGCGACGTCTCACCACGATGCAGAACTCCCAGAAGCAGTATGCCGATCGTCAGCGACGTGATCACTCAGTAGCAGTCGGAGATCAGGTGCTTCTTGACACGCGCAACTTGAACCTGTCTCACCTCCCATCCAAACTCCGGCCTCGCTTCTGTGGTCCTTTTCTCGTTGAGGCACAGGTGACACCAGTTACATTCCGCTTGCGCTTACCAGATACATGGAAGCTTCACAACGCTTTCCATGTCCAGCTACTGAAGCCCTACAAGGACCCCAACCAACAGTTCAAGGGACGACAGCTACCGCCACCTCCACCTGTTCTTATACAGGATGAACCCAAGTACGAGATCAAGCGCGTTCTCTCTCATCGGTGCCGCGGCGGCAAGACCCTCGAGTTCCTGATACGCTGGAAGGGATACGACCCCACTGAGGACAGTTGGGTTGCAGAAGCTGATATGGGCAACGCACGCCGTGCTCTCAAGGACTATCTTGTCAAGCAGGGTGTATCTCACGCCACCCAGCTTTGAGGGGGGGACGTGTGAGAGTACGACGGCTTATGCCAGCTATGCTTGCTTGCCTTTATTTTATCATGCTATTTCTAGCATAGGATAATCATATGCATGCATGAATTGCTTGATTTCCTAGGCTAGGTGCTTTCCTATATTTTATTATAGTTATAGCACCGAGCTAGGTTGCGTGCACCGAATTCTGGCTTTTCGATTGCCACCGAATCGCCTTCTACCGAATTCGGTAAGGATCTGTTCGGGACGCTTTGCGACCCGCGGAACCTTCGCGTAACACCTGGTTACGGGGCCTTGTGTCGAGCCTATATATAGCCTCGTGTTGTACCCAGGTGGACATTCAATTCAATTTGAATCATCTTTTCTGAGCTCGATCCCAGATCCTCACATTAAGGATTGGCAGATTGTAGAGGATGTTTAGTAGCTTTATGTAGCTGTAGTGCATTTGTAGGTTTAGTATGTGACATTCTGGTGATTAATTTCTAACCAATTACTATTGTAAGCGTTTAATAATAGTTAATTATAATTAGGGAATTGTTTTGATTTGTTGATAATAAACCTATGTCAGAGGTCTACTGGTGATCCTCGATTGATCCTACGGAAGGGTTATAGGCTCGTTGTCCTGGGGGGTTATGGGCGCACTGACCCGCTACTTAACAAGCCCTTTTATCCCAATGGTCTAGTGGTTGGGATTCTGACAGCCTATTCGAAATTCTTTTGATCATAATTTTAGCAGTGTAGATATCTCTATTAAATGTCGCCTTGTCACATCTCCAATAGGAACAAATATCCACTAAACTTTTCTTTATCGTATTATACATACGCATATTGTTATCACGCGGTAACCAACTTTAACAATTTTGTTACGCGAGTGGTTACAACTGAACTTGTCAATTCTCGCCTGTGCGAGGGCCTTCTTTTCGTTTCCGAAAGTAACAAACTAGATTACTCGCCCCAACTGACATGCAATGCGCAACTTACACATTTCAATCGCCTCGCAGGTTGGTTTCGGCAGTGCGCAGGTTGACTGCAGGTTGGTTCTGTTGCCCCACAATTACCCCCCAGTATTGAAAGCAGATTGACAGGACTCCCGAAAACGGGAGTCACCAGGAAGGCTTCCAGCTAATTGCTGGAAGCCACATTTCTTCGTGCGATGTAGGTTTCCCGCTACAAGCTGATCTGGTACACGAACAGGACCGCGGCGGGCTGGGATCAAGCACACGAAAATGTACGAGGCCTGAAATTGCTAGTTTTGCTATATCGATGCCTACTACGGTATCGGAAATGTACGTGTCTCGCTGCTGACGACCTAAGTGCTAGGTTGTATCTCGTGAATGTTACGTGCCTTCTGAACGAGGCCTGAAACTGCTAGTGTCGGCAAGTGAGACGAAAACGGGTGCGGAAAAACGACGCATTTCGAAGCTAAAGCACCCGAGCTGTCTGAAGTTAGTTCGAGGCTTGAAACGCGACGCGACACGACGCGAAGCTCGACACATCGAGCCACTGCGGCCAATGCCGCACACACATCCCATTCCGATTCGTTTTAGTGTTTTCTGCACACACTTCCCATTCCGATTCGTTTTAGTGTCTTCTGCTTACTCCTTATTCAACATAGCAAATTTTTAGCTTGGACTGGAACTCAGAAGATAAAACTTCATGTGGAGGTTAGTGCTTTCTAGAAAAAAGTCTGACACAAAAGTCTGAAACAGATAATAACACAAGTAGACTCTAATCACAGAGTAAGCTCAAAAGAACAATCAGGGGTAGGAAGACTAGCAAGTCAGCTGGTGGTGTTCCCTGATGCCTTGCCAGCATTCCTGCCCCTGATGCTTTGGCCTAATATAGCTACTCCAGCCATCATGAACCAGAGGAGATCCGATCACGCCTCTGCAGACACACACAGCTAAATCGCCCTCAACTCAAGCCCATCAGAACCACAACTACTGCTTGCAACAGGCTGAATTCAGCCCCTCCAATCCAGTAGAGCAGCACCAGCAATGACTGTCAAACCATCGCTTTACCAAGCAGCACCAGCGGCAGAAGCGGCGGGCGTCTTGGCCCCCACTGACAAGACCCACAGTGACATGATGCATCAAGCACCACCAGCGGCAGAAGCGGCGGGCATCTTGGCGCCCATGAGCTGCCCGCCCCACGTCACACCTGCTGCGTTGATGCCCGCCAGCACAGCATACCCGCTCACTGCAGGCGCCTGCTGTGCTCCCCCCTGCTGCTGTCCCCCCTGCTGCTGCCCCCCCTCCTTCTGACCCCCCGGCCTGGCAGCGCGGCCGAATGCGCGCATCAGCAGCTCCCGCCCCATGCGCCTCCCGCCCTGCCCGTTCCGTGCGCCCCCCGCGCTGCCTCCGCCGTTGCGCCCGCCGCCGCCGCTGGTGGGCGGAGGCGAGGCGGTGGGGAGCACGGCGAGCAGCGCGTCGAGGGTGGCGGCATCCGTGTTCTCGAGGAACGCGTCGAGGCGCGCCTCCGGCGTGCAGCAGCCACCACCCCGCGCGCTGCTGCCAGTCCGCCGCGGCGAGTGGCAGCGCGAGCACGACCGTCGCGGCGGCGTCGCACACAGCGCCCTTCACCATCGCCAACGAGTCGGGCGGACCGCCCGCCGCGTCCACCAGCACCGCCTCGACCAGAAGATTGTAATTTCCGCTCGCGTTCTTGAAGACGGCGAGGTGGAAGCTGCCGCTAAGGGTCTTCTGATCCACGGTGCAGTTGGCGAGCTGCGCGCCAACATCGGCCGTCAGATTCCCGACGGCCGTTAGGTTCAGCGGAGGACCGTGCGGCGGCTTTCCGTCAGGCCTGCCAGGACCGCCGGAACCGCCGCGACCGCCGGGACCGCCGAAAATTACGCCAGGACCTCCGCTATGACCGCCGGCGGAACCGGCGGACTGTCAAAAAAAAGAGAACGCCCAAGTCCAAATGCCTCCGACATCAGGCGTTTCCAACAACCATGCGCGGAAGCGAAGGCCCTAGGACTGCTCCGCGAATCACCTAGCATTCTTTTCGAGAAGAGGAGTTCCGATGCTTAGTCATTGTGTTCACCACCAATGCATCCCCTTCCACATTGTGTCCCCCCTAGGACTGTGCACCACTCACAGCGGGCCCTGAGGGGTTAGCCGTAGAAACTTATTTGCTGTTGCATATAATTGTCTCAGAGTGTATTTTGCATCAACTACTACACCAGCAACTTTAAACAGAAAGTACCATCAAATAACAGAAAATAGGGAGTGAAAATACCAGCATTACAGCACCAGAGGTCAGAGAGAGATGCTACATGCCACAAACTACAGGGTTCAGGGGGTTGCAGATATAATACACATGCGTCAAACTACATCTCCGCCTTTAAGATCCATAAAGTACTCGTGTAGGATGTGCGGGTGCCTAACACTATCCATCTCCGTGCGCACCTCGGCCTCGTGCCACCCCCATTGAGAGTCTGAGAGGCCTCAACGCATCTCTTCGCGGCAACGATTCGCCCACTTGTTCAGGTACCAGAGTCCAGGAGTCACAAACGACTCCACCATGTGCACGGTCCTCTGCACAGCTATGACCGGCACAAAGTCATAGCTTAGCTCGTCGTCGGACGGACGCATCCTCATGCACCCCGTGCACTCGTCCACCTGTGAGGGGTACCACTGCCTCACAAATGCCACCTCCTCTCCCGCGGGGTCAGCGTCCTCGCTGTTATTCGTCAGCGTCAGAAGGAGGTGCACGCGGCCATACACCGTCTCCCCGCTCCCGTTCTCATACTCAATGAATGAGAACGCAGGTACGCCATGGTGCGAGGCGGATGCTCGGGCGTAGTGGGGCCTGATTAGGGTGTAGTCCATCTCGCTGGCGGGGAGGGCGAGTGCGGTGTGGACCTGCATGGACAACGGTTTAACAGGTGGACAGCAAGAGGCAGCACGAGGGCAAGGCCGTGGTAACATGCGGGGGAAATGACCGGTATTAGGGCAGAGAGAGGCAGAGCATGAAATCTAGAATGACCTAAAAACTAATCTGCACACGAGCACCGGTGGGTTGCATGTCAACAAGGGCAGAGTCAAGATACGACATAGACACGTCAGAGATAGCGAGTTTACCACCCCGGGCATGCAGAAGCGTTAGGGACAGCACTGGGATCGCACTTGGGGAACCGGCATGGCAGTGTTGGGTGGAAAGTATGGCTTCATGGACATGTTCTATGTAGAGAAAGCTCCAGCAAACTGCTGGCCTTACCCATGCTGGGAAAGCGATGTAGCCGTAGAGTCTTGCCAGGTAAGCATAGGGCCCGATGCCTCCAGGGATCGCGGCGTCGTATGTCGCATACAGGTCCAGTGGCGCCTGCTCCCTGTCACTGATCGCGCTGTGCATCCTAGAGTGCTGGCGGCACAGCTGGGGCACACCAGCAGCTATGGCCTGGCACATGCCACAGGAGGGGTGGGAAGGCAAGTGGTTAGAGGTTACATATGTACGCATGTTACAATGAAACCTACTGCATCCAATGCCATTGACAGCCATTGCCAACCATAATAACAACACCACGTGGAGAACAGTTGGCTAGCAGTACATACCCAGCGCAACGCCGTGTTGTACTTCCGATCTCCCTCGAGGTTGGTAGGGAGGCGGGTCATAAGCGCTTGAATGGTGTTGTGCTGTGCGATCACCCGCCGCAGGTCCCGGTGGTTGGATGCCCGATACGGCCTCTTGCAGGTGCGGATGTGCGCGTTCTCGTAAACTGCAGCAGAGTACTCTCGGGGAAGCCCCCCCCCGTCGAATCGCCTCCGTAAGGTGGAGCAGCAGGTGGACCTTCACTAAGTTCCATCCAGAGTGATCGCGTGGGAAGGTGCTCTCCACTAGCTGCACCATCCTGCAAGGAAGGAAGCCGTGGGTAAAATGTTATTATAGTTGGCATCTACAACGGATGGAACAGAGACCAATCACATGGGCAATCGTGCGCACATCCAATCAGCCACCCACCAGGTCAGAAGCTTACCTTTGTGTGGCAGTGTCGAACGCACTCAGGCTCTCGTCTGTGTGCTTCGCTGCCCGCACATAAGTCTCATGCCAGTCCAGAAACGCGACGATAGTGCGGCTGCTGATGACCGAAACCTCGCCCTCCAGTACAAAGGGCACGATCTGCCACGTTCCAGACAGGCATGGAGCATAGGTGACACGGATGAGGTGGGATTACGTGCAGTACGAGGGTGTGGTCAGACACCCCACACGTGCGTGGCTGTTCATACGCACCATCATGACACCGGCGTGCTCTGACGCCGTGAAGTTCGCACCAGAGACCCAATATGCCGCATCAGTTGGAGTGATCAGACCCGCCTGCCTGGCCTCTAGGTGTAGTGCATTCTGGCGCCTGCAGAATTGAAACGACACGAGAATATTAACATACCGCCGCGGAATTCAGAGCGTACCACAAGTAAGCAGGGGTCTCGGGTCGAGAACACGGGACAGGCACGTGCAAGGTGGCTAGTCATAAACCGCCGCATGATATGGGTGTTACGTACCCGTCAAGAGTGGCGGCGCGTCCATCGGGTCCGCGCAGTGCAACGCGGAGGTACAGCCAGAAGCCCAGGTAGATAATGTGCAGGATGTCAGGCATCTGCGACAGGTACGTGTTGCCCCATAGAGTCCGGGAGAAATTCCACTCCCAAAGAAACGACTGCATCAAGGGGGAAAAAGAGGGAGGTTGATTACAGATAGGGGCGCAAGTGAGGATGATGGCAGGTGCGTATGAGCGCAAGTGCTGCTGAGCTCAAGTGTGGATGATGTACAAGTGCACCAAGTGGAGGGTGGTGACCGTACCAGGGGCTTTCCGAGTCTATGAGTGGAACGGTGGGAATAATGGCCCGCGCTGACACAGCTTTGTGCATTCAGAGGCAATAGGTGTGCCAAAAACAAGCGCGTCAACGCTGGCCTTACTGTCCGATAGTGCGTAGCTAGTGATGTGCGGACAGTGTGAAGACATCCTGAGATGCACCTACCGGGATACAGAGAGTGGAGCACGTTCTTGCGAGCCACGGGCTGTGAAGCAGAGAGGACTGCTGATCCACAGAGCGAGGCTCCGATGGTCCCGCCGTCATGTTCTTAAGCTGCCCCCAATCCACATAGCACAGGGAGCACGGCATAGCACTGCCATGCTGTTGAGTGCAGGAGACCTTGCAGGTCTCGGGGAAGTCCGCGACGTAGGAAAAGAGAATGGGCCAGATGACCCGGTCGACCCCCCATGGATCGCGCGCCGCAATCCGTCTGTGATCGGAGCAGCACAGAGTTATACACGGTGTTGGCTTAGCACGAGCGGTCTGTATGCCAGTGCTGGAATCGGCACTTGCATTTAAAGGAGGAAACGACAGAGGCAGGTGCGGCTAGGCTTGTGCGGGCAGATGCAAGTAACGGCATAGTCAGGGGCCGCAATAGGGACGTCCGGACTGTGGAAAGTATGGACATATACAGGTAACAACGTGTCCTGAGGACAGGTAAGGACATGAGGTTTGGACTGACCAAATTGAGACAGTACACTGCGGAAAGAAGCACGTCTCAACGGTAAGGGATGCGGACACCAGGAGCATAACATTGAAGGAAGGATGCAGGTGCGGGCACAAAAAAAAATGTATGGGTCGCCCTAGGCGCAGGCAGAGACAGGTAAGGGCTTTGGCAGGTCAGAGAATAGGTACGTAAGAGCATCAGGAGGTAAGGGCAGAGGCCGGCGTAACACACTTCAGTGCGGGCGGAAGGCTAAAGATGCACTCACGTGTGTGATGCGACAATCAAGTCTCCCAGAACTATCTGCATCGCAGCTTGGAAAAGCTGCACCTTCTGCTCGGCCGTCATACCCTGGATAGGCATCGGGAGTAAGGCAAGCAGGATCTTGCCAGATCCCCCCAACGGAGGCGGAGGTGGATGTTTGCGAGACTCAGGTACACCGCCCACACATTCACACGCTCGTTCCCGCTGAGAAGAGCAAACATCACATGTTGGCGCAACTGAGCCCGCCACCGAGCAGGCAGATCAAGTGCAAATGTACGTTTGGCATAGCCAATCATAACGACTCGGCGCGCAGTACTCATACGGAAGACAGTACATAACATCAAATGCGAGTGGGCCAGCTGGATAGAGCCCGCATCCTCACCTGAACGACTTCCCATAAAATGCCAGTCTCAGGCCTGGTGTAGACGCGTCCCATCGCCGAGTTCAACGGGCGTGCAAAGAGCTGGAAGCCCTCAGCGTTGTCAGGGTGTCCGAACAGCTCCAATGCTCCCTGCGCCATGGATTAGGGATTGTTTAGTGACGATCTGTTACGACAGAAACACGCCACGGGTACAAGGTGTGAACGTACCTCAATAACGCTTGTCAACATCAGCTCGAAGGTGTGGTCGACCCCCTGAATGCGCACTTCCTTGGTCCTGTAAACACGCCTAGCCATCATGAGCCGGAGACCATACTGGAGGACGGCGCGTTTGGTCCCCCAGCAGCGAATGGCGGCGAGATCTAGACGTGGGTCGCGCAAGATCTTGAAAAGCCAGGCAGTGCACTTGTCGCTGAGGCCCTCACCGCCGTTGCACCCAACGACGAAGTGGAAGAACTCCAAGGCCGTGTCGAAATCGACATCGTCTACACTGCTGGCATCATCGTCGCTTTCCGAAGAAGCTTCGTTGTCATAGTCGCTGTCGTCACTTGCCCATTCGTCTGTCTCCACGTCGTCGTCACTGCCACTTCTGCCAGGGTGTTGGGCATCAATGCCCTGCGCCGACCAAGAGATTATTGAGAATGGATGAGGCTACTTGTGATGTACCGCATTGCAACAAGCCCTAAACAGGCAGGCAAATTGCCATAAAATTTCTCCTTACCTCTGTGTGCTGATCCGGATCTTCTACTTCAGTGGTCGCATCGCCCATCACATTATCAAATGCATCACCAAAAAGGTCATTAATGTCGGCGTCGGGATGCTGGGCAAGGTAACGAAGGCGCCGCCTGCATTCCAGTCGGCAGTCATCGCTGTGGAGCTTGTGCGCCACAAGCGCGCCGCGTTGTGTGAAGTGCTCGAGACACCATTCACAGGCGAACAGGTATGATATGGGAGGCATTGCAGCACCGCGTCTCTCGTGCTGTGTTCTACGGAATGCCGCTCAGATGAGGCGACTGTTATAGTGTCGGAAACGCACAACTCGGTCAGAGTTTTTCTCTCCATTGTGACGAGATAACCTTGCAGCTATTGTGCGCGCCTCCAAGCCTTATAAAATCCGGACACATCAGCTCTGCCACCGTCAGTCACGTGCGATCCACCAGTCTGGCTCTAACCCGAGATTTCTGATATTGCGGCACCGTGCCGTTGTTTATGAGGCTCCTAGCAAGGGTAACAGGTCAGCCAGGGGTAATATCTAGGTACTAAGGTGCAACATAATTAGGACCCGAGATGTCAATTATTGCGGCACGTGGTATTTGAGGCCCCTGACACGTGAAACAGGCCAGCGGTCGCTAATATCTAGATACTAAGGTATAGAATCGCTAGGACACGACTTCGTGTGACATCTCCAGCGTGCGATGACTTATTTAGGGATGACTTATCCAGTGTGCCAAGCCTGGTTCTGTAGCCGTTGCCAGCTCACCGTGCGTGTAACGGATATTTGTTACGACGCAACTGGCTGCATCTTGTTCCACAACTTTGAAGGGTTTAGGATGACCCATCATATTAGTTGAACGTTTTCAGATTCTTTGTGACAATGTTATAACGCGTCATGCAATACTGAATCCCTTGCGCGGCACAACTTTTAGTGTCAGCACACGATTTCAAACTTCTCTATTTCTGGCACACAACACCCATCGTGTGCGCGCCTTCTTAGTACAACTCCCGCTATTCGCAATGGCATCCTCTGCATCAGCATTCGTGTCGGAAATGTCAGCACATTATAACTTATGCTTTTGTGTAGGCTGTAGTGGGGTAGCCCATATGGGGTACAACCCAATTAGGGTTAGTACTTGTACCCAACTGTTTCATAGTTCATTCATTCTCGTTCACATTTTCTCAAGGTATCAAGCAGGTTCCCCCGTGGGAACTGTGCCTAGGGCCCACCACATCGACCTTTTTTTTTCCTGCCCGAAGCGCGCTCCGCCCGAGTCGCACTTCGTCGAGCCGCCCTAGCGGCCCTTTCCCCTAGCGGCCCCGCCGCACGTCGCCTCGGCCCCGCCGCCCGCCGCTTCGGTCCCGCCGCCGGTCGTCGCGGCCCCGCCGCCCTACCTCGCGGCCCCGCCGCCCTACCTCGCGGCCCCGCCGCCCTACCTCGCGGCCCCGCCGCCCTACCTCGCGGCCCCGCCGCCCTACCTCGCGGCCCCGCCGCCCTACCTCGCGGCCCCGCCGCCCTACCTCGCGGCCCCGTCGCCCTACCTCGCGGCCCCGCCGCCCTACCTCGCGGCCCCGCCGCCCTACCTCGCGGCCCCGCCGCCCTACCTCTCGGCCCCGCCGCCCTACCTCGCGGCACCGCCGCCCTACCTCGCGGCCCCGCCGCTCTACCTCGCGGCCCCGTCGCCCTACCTCGCGGCCCCGCCGCCCTGCTCAGCGGCCTCGCCGCCCTTCTGCACCGGCCCCGCCGCCCTACTCCTGCGGCCCCGCCGCCCTACTCCTGCGGACCCGCCGCCCTACTCCTGCGGCCCCGCCGCCCTACTCCTGCGGCCCCGCCGCCCTACTCAGCGGCCCCACCACCGTTCACCAGCGGCCCTGCCGCCCTACACCGCCCGTGCCGCCCGAGCTGCCAGAACAGCCCGAGCCGCCCGAGCCGCCCGAGCCGACCGAGACACCCGAGCCGCCCGAGTCGCCCGAGCCGCCCGAGCCGCCTGAGCCACCCGAGCCGCCCGAGCCGCCCGAGCCGCCCGAGCCGCCTGATCAGCCGAGTCGCCGGTGCCGCGGAGCCGCAGTCGCTACTGTGCCGTCCGAGCAGCCATGTTGCCGGGTTACTGCACTACTGAGCTGCCCGACTTGCCCTGTCTGGTGAGACCAGCGCTTCTGTCACTGCACTGCCCCTGTCCTACAGTTGGTCTCGCTAGTCTACTGCTGTCATGGCTTCCCCTAGTGTTCTCGCATTTGACGCAGAGGGTCGAGCCATTGACTTTGAGGTTTGGGTAGATGACCTGCAGCTCTTCTTACAGAGCGATAGGGCAGACGGTCTCTCCCTCTTTGACCTCACCTCTGGCGCCTCTCCTGCCCCTGCTGCTGATGCTGACCCCACTGTTCGCTCCCAGTGGGCCACGCGCGATGCTGCTGCACGTCTTGCTGTGCGTCGCCACCTGCCTACCTCTGAGCGCGCGCACTTTAGTCAGTACAAGAGTGCTCACACCTTATACGACGCTGTAGTTGCGCGCTACTCTTCCCCTGCCACTGCTGCACTGAGCCGCCTCATGCTACCGTACCTCTTTCCTGACCTTGCTGCCTTTCCCACAGTCGCTGACCTCGTTACGCACCTCCGCACTAGTGACACTCGCTACCGCGCCGCACTTC